GAATGTCAGAAGTTATTGCTAGTCAGTGTTCTAAGCACAACTCTTGCTACCTGACACAGATAGCCAAAAGTAGTCAGAGGACCCAGCAACTGGTGAATTAGTAGAGAAGGAAAGCTGTGGTTTACAATATTGGTTCTTACTAAACTTGTATTGGCTCTGTCCTGCTCTGTCTCCTACTATTTGAATTGGAAACTTAACGGTTTATACTAGTGTATCTAAAGTCAAAATCCAAATTACAGTGAGATTCTTGAGTGATATAAACACGTGTAATCCCAAATAATTTAACTAAATTGCACCTAGTCATACCCACTGAAGATCACTGACATATTTTGGAAGGGATGTCTTTGCTTTTTGATGTATTCTTTTTTTTTTTTTTAATTGAAGTTAATGAAAAATATAGATAGAATTTTTATGAATGTAAAGGATTATCTCCTTAACAAAATTTCATATTTTGCTCTGAGTGGAAACTCTGATGTAAAATATTGCTTCTTTCTAAATTTCATCTTTTCATTTTTTTCATTTTTTGCCAGCATTTCATCTACTGACTACTTCAGAGAGGAGTCACTTTAAAACTATGGGATATTCTCCAGAATTTACTCTTCTTTGTTGAGACTTCAGTCTTCACTCAAATGCCTTTTAGTACTACAACTTCACCCTGTATCTCCACTGTTCAGTGTGTTCACAAGTCTATCAGGATCATATTTCTCTTGGCACTTGCAACAAGATTCTATACTTTATTTTGTGTCTGAAATTATATTGTGGCTGTTCCTGTTTTCTCATATTTGCCACAGCTTCTTGCCTGAGCTGATCCCTTTGCCTGCTTTAATCTTTGACCCTTCCTTCATGTTGCTCCTCTGCCTGGAATAACTCTCCTTTTAATGTCGAACAGTCAGTCTGCAGTTCCTCCTTTAAGATATTCCTTGAAAACTGGACTCTTCAGAGTAGTATTCCATCTTTACTCAAATACCACAATAATATAAAGGCATGCCTTCAATCTCTTTCCTGAGGCAATCTGGAAAAACTGTGACTTTTCTTCATCCAATTTTTGTTTGAAATATGCTGCTTTGCCTACAAATTCTACTCTGCCCCTTAAAGAAGATAGATGAAAGAAAACATTGGAAAGCCAGACAATAAACCCTCAAAGATGAAATGTGGAATTAGGAAAATGAGCCCTTGGTGTCCTTACTGGGATTCTTTTCCATCTGATGTGTTCAAAATTGGTACTAGTGTAATTCTGTCACTGGCTCACTGTGTGACCAGGAAAATGTTTCTTTATCTTTAATTTCTTAGGTACTTTTCTTGTGAAGATGGAGGTTTCTAAAATGCTATGAAAACTGAGAAAGAAGAGTGTCTGATTTCAGTGTCGTTCATGTCTGCATGATCCTATTTATGACTGGTTTCCGTTGTGAAGGGGGCGCAGACATCTTTCTGGTTATTGTTATGCTTGCTGCTTCCCTTCATTTCTCCTGTGGAGTGAATGCATTGTGTTATGACATTGTAACATGTACTTTTTAACACGCCATGTTTTGAATCAAACTAATGTTGCAAAGTCGTAATGCAGTACTGGCCCAGAAAAGTGTATCGGGATGTTCCAGTGCCCTTCCAACCTAGTTTGCTGTCTGAAACACTTACCCAGCTGTGGATCTCTTTGGGGAGAAAGAATTTTACTTTTAGTTTTGAGAGAACCTAGGCGTTAGATACTGTCTGAAAGGAGCTGATTTCATTTGCTGATGAAAATTTTAACCGGGCTGCTTTGGGAAGAACACTCTTTGTTTTCCTCCTTGATACTGCTAGAAATTTTGAAGCCTGAGGTGAAGAAATTAAGGAAGCTCGATATTGTCAGTTGAAAAGGTGGAGATCAGGAGCATTCCTTCCAGAGCCCACTTGCCTGGTTTGTGTTAAACACCGTCAGTACAGACCATAATCTCTAGAGAGAAATCTGATCAATTTGGAATTGTAACAGAAGAGCTAACAAGGAACAAATTAAAATCCTGTATTCCCACTTGATCTGCTTCTTTCCCTCAGGGCTCATCCAAAGCCTTTTGAGGTTTGCTGCAGATTGAATGAAACCCTACTGGATGTCAGCGATGAGGAATAATGAGATTAAGTGAGGAAAGTTTTGCTTAACTAGTAGGAAAAACCTTTACAACCATAAGAGCAATTGGGCCACAGAGCTGGCTGCCAAGAGGTGTGGTGAAATCTATTTCACAGGAAATGTTCAAGTGAAGACTTGAACCTCAGCCACTTGCAAGAGTTGGAGATATTGGAGTTTGGCCACAGTGTATGGATGTAGACTCTGATCTTTAGGAATTGCATGAACTTATAGTGTTTCCTTCTAGAGCTGAACAATTGCGTGAAGATCTGCTACTTTTCAATTAGCTTTGTGCAACCCAGAGTTTCTGGTTTTCTTACTCTGAATTTGGTTTGGCCTCCACCACATTCTTTCTCTAGTCCAGCCTTCTGAAATGGGGCATAGAAAACTTTTGTTAACATCCTTCGACCTGTCTGGATGCTGTATCTGAGGTGTTGTTGCATAGATTCTAGCATATTCATAAAAGTCTGTGAGAATATATGGTAGGAATGAGGCCTCTGAAGAAAACTAACAAAACCATCCTTGGTTTTGATGCTTCTGTAGTAGTGGCTACTTAAATTATTCCAAGAAGAGACATATGCTTTGGATTTCAGCGTCAAATCTGACAGTAACAAAATTGAATTATCTCATTTATTTGACTTCTACTTATTTGTCAAGTTGAAGAGTTGGTTTTGTAGGTAAATTTAAAGACTTCTTAAATAGTCTCTTATTGCCATTGTCAGAGATAGGATGCTGGATTGGATTGACCATCAGTCTGACTCAATAAGGCATTTAATGTATTTTTATATAAGACTCATTCCCATTTCTAACAAAATGGGAGAAGATTTGGTATTTGGCCGTAATATAACCACTGATCGAAGTTCAAATGCCGGGAGTAGGGATATTTGCAAGTGCCAGCTGGGCAATTAAGAAGATGCAAGAAAAAGGAGCTTATGAAATCGAGCTTGCTTGATAATAAGCAAGATATAAGAACAGCTGTCAGTAGCAGTGTATGATAGATCAAAAGATTTTTACGCAAAAATGAGCGAAGAGTTTGCATGAAGGCAAGAGGGTATCCTTTCCCCTGGGATATGCACAGGAGGATATTCCCCCTGTTTCTTGAGACACGAGATATGACATGGTGATGTCCATTTTCTACAGGAAACAAGATAGACCTATGAAACTGATGACTAGCACAGGAAAGATTTTGCTATGAATGAACACTTTTGGCAACCAGGGACAGAAGATTGACTACAGAAAAATGAGCTTTCTTACTCAGCATCATAGCTTCAAAATATTGTTTGGATGGATCTGCTAAGCTGAACAGTAAACAGTTATTTTTGTCTTCATTCTCCCTTTATGGCCAAAACTTCTTAGGAAGAGTAAAAAGAATTCTATCTTTTCTAGTGCATTAGCAAAACAAATGTATGAGTGTGGGGCGTTTATTATTAACACTGGAGTGAGATGCATACAATGCAGATCTCAAGTGGAATTTGTTACTCTTCCAGTAAGGAAAATCATCCTTGGAATTATGAACTGATCAGAGAAGATCCTGAAGAGAAGATTCATGGTCATCAACACAAAGCTAAAAGTAGAGTTATTTTTGTGGCTAATCAATTTCTATATATAACTTCTTTGGTAAATATTCAAGAGAATTAATCCTAAATAGACCGTGTAAGGCACAGTATTATTTATCTAGTCTTTTTTTCTCCTTTGTGTCCTGATGTTCACAAGATTATGGTGAAATATCTATATGTATGTAGAGATTAGACCAAAAGCATTTCTGTGCTAATTACCTGCTGAATGCTAAATATCCCTGCTGTTTCATTAGTAGGGAGACATACGGTCTCTGTGGAGACATTATAGCAGCCTTTCAATATATAAAGGCAGCTTGTATAAGAAAAAGACTTTTTACCAGGGACTGTAGTGACAGGACAAGGGGCAATGGTTTTAAACTAAAAGAAGCTAGGTTTAGATTGAATAAAAGGAAGAGATTTTTTTACGATGAGAGTGGTGAGGCACTGGAACGGGCTGCCCAGAGAAGCTGTAGAGGCCCCATCATTGGAAGTATTCAAGGTCAGGCTGGATGGGGCTTTGAGCAACCTGATCTAGCTGAAAGATGTCCCTGCCCATTGCAGGAGGGTTGGACTAGATTATCTTTAAAGTTCCCTTCCAACCCAAATCATTCTATGATTCTGTAACAAGGAAACTGGAGCTTAACTGCCCTTCCAGTGGAGCTGTGTAATTCACCTTTGAGCTTTGGATCTGTGTGCACAGGGGATATTCCTGTTATTTGGAAATCTCTAAAAGGAGCTTACCAAGAGGTAGGTAATTGTCTGGTTCATGTGAAATAGTTGTAAGTGAAGGAACAAGGAGAAATCTTCCAAGGATCAGGCACAGGTTTTATTCCTCGAAAACCAGCTTGTCATTAGAATTCTCTCCCCAAGCATACATAAGTGCAACCTATCCTGCTGAGATCCAAGAAAATAATGGAAATTACTTGAGCGATTTGAGTAGAAAGGATGTATGAATCTGATGCTATTTTTCTGCATGTGTAAATTAACTCTCTGTCATGTTCACCATACAGAGTTAACTGACTAGGAAGGATGTCATTCTGGTGCTTTCTCAGATCATGTTGGCAGGAACTATAAAGGGAATCTGCTTTTTCTCAAATAATAGCTTGTTTAAAAAAAACACCAACTTTTTTTTTTTCATTAAGATCAGGTGGGTATGTTATTCCTATCGCTATTATTCATTTGTTTATTGTGGTGTGCCCAAAATTGCTAACAACCTTGTCTGAAAAAAATATTCCTTTAAGCAAATATATAGCAAATCAAAAGAAGACTGTGAGAATATCCCATGAACAGTATGCAAAGTGATGCAAGAAATTAGATTATATCTTCTAACCCAGCCTGCTGTTCTGTTTCAGACATTGTTGAATGAGTTAGACCGAAGCATGGGGCGATACCGAGATGAAGTAAATCTCAAAACAGCCATCATGTCCTTTATCAATGCCGTTCTGAATGCTGGTGCTGGTGAGGTGAGTTCCTGCCCTGGAAATTCCTTCTAAAATGTTATGCTTGAATTAATTTACCTTGGATATGACTAGTAGATTAAGCCACAAATCTTGTGTTATTGACTGGATATAGTTTGTGGAAAATAAGGCTTAATTGTTAATATCAGTCTTCTAATGACTTCCATATTATTTCATTTCCAGCTTCTTCTAGTATAACATAGACTACTTGCACTGAAGTGATTTTTTTCGGGGATTTTTAGAGGTTTATTTAAAGAACTGCAAAGCATTTACCTCTTGATTTCAGCCTTTTAGAAAACATTTTGGTTTACCTGCAGAAGTGTTTTGAAATATAGTTTTGACTCAAAGCTAAACTCAAAACGTTTTAGTTTAAAAATGTCAAAAGGAGACATTTCAGAAAAGACAGTTTGTTGTTTTTCTTTCATTAACAAGACTTCTTTTTGAGTCTGGAGGATAGTTTGAACTGATTTTATTTCATTTCAAATGTTACTTTTGTTACATTGGCTTTTCTTTTTTTTGGTTAAACCACAACACAAGAAGCTCCTAAGAGTTCTATCTGGCAATGCGTTTGTCTCTGTCTGCAGCAGTCCTGTAACATCCCACTGAATAGGTGTCAAGTTTGCCAGAGTATATGGTGATTTTTTGACAAAAAGACTTCAAAACTAGGAGGAATACTGCAGTACTGTTCATCTGTAAGCAGGAAGCAGGCCTCTAATGGACTAGCAGGACAAACACTAATAGCTATTTTTTTGTGGAACAACATGGAGTGTGCTGTCCTTCTGACTGGGCATGCAGAATTGATTGTAGTAATGAGGACTGTATTTTTAAGTGAAGTAGAGGCAAAGGCGTTATTTATTTTTTTTAAACTTACTTTGCTGGAATCCTGTGAATTTAGTGTAAGGATAGAGGATATTAAAAGGGAAGAACTGAGGTTTTTAAGTTGTTTTTTGTTTTTTTTTTTAAATGATTAAAATCTTTTGGAACATAATAACTTGTTTTTCTCCACTTTTTAAGGACAATTTGGAGTTTCGATTACACCTACGGTATGAGTTTCTAATGCTGGGAATTCAGCCCGTCATTGACAAGCTAAGAGGACATGAGAATGCCACACTGGACAGGTAAGACATGTTTTCTGAGAACAGTTATTGATCAACAGAAAAAGTTCTTAGAAACACTTCTCCATTTGAGTTTCAGGTTTAAGCACAAAACTGTCTCTGTCTCTCCCTAAAACTGACTCACTTTAAAGGCAAAAAGGAGATTTGTCCTTAAAATTAAAATCAGCAGATGAAGTAGGAAACACATACTAAATTGGCGGTGGCTGAGGCAAGAAATTCCTGAACCACTTTACTTCTAAGCTGAGGATGGCAATCAGAATAATAATAATAAAAAAAAAAATCTAATACTTTTCTCTTGTTGCAAAACTGGAACAAAAGCCAGTCCTGGTAGGAGGGAGGGAAGCCAGTAGTTCATTGACTTCATTGAAACTGAGTATGTGTGGTCAAAGCACACAGGTTTTGAGTTTCCAAGATTTTTCTCTAAGCTCAGTCTTTTTTGTGATCTGGCTTGTTCTACGCTCTCCCAAACAGTAACACTGGCACAGCTATGAGAGAAGAGGCACTTGTGGTAGGTGAAGGGGTAGAGATATCAAAGAGGCAAGGGAGAAGAATGAGGAGCATCTTCAAATAACCCCACTACTATGCAAAATGTAACACTGAATGGCATCTTCAAATTACTGTGTTAAAAATTATACAAATGATAAATGCTTTTTCCACTAGCAATTCCGTATTTTGCCGCAGTAATTGGAGCTGCTAATGACCTTAAACCCTTCACAAAGCCACATGCTGAAATAAACTTGGAGTAAATACTCTGAACAATTTGACTGAGACACTTCAAGAAGCTAAAAGACTGATGAAGCAATGAGGAGCCTGGTAAAATCCATTTGCTTAACAAAATGAAGCATTTAAAATGTAAGAGTGGGCAGCCATTGGAGTCTACCTTCTCCTGTGACAACATTAAGCTTTGTGGAGAAGCATTGTCCTGCTGATGTGCTGCTATCCCTTATTGTCTGCTACTCCAAGCCCCTTCCTACAGAGCAGGGCTGATTTCTAGGTATCTGATATCTGGGATTTCCTAGATAGAAGTGTCAAGTTTGCCAAAGCACATGGTGAAAAACCTATGGATCAGGCCAATGCCTGCAGCTTTCAAGGCACTGTTTTCTCAAACATCCACTGTCCAGAGCTGCTATAGGGTGACAGAGCTATCCCTGGGGGCAAACATAGTATCCCTGAGGTTCACCTAAGTACCAGGTTAGCACCAGCTGCCTGACATAAAGAGCAGCCTCACATCTTTGCACAGGTGGAAGCATATACCTGTGTATTAATGTCACAGGGAAAGATTGCAAGCAGTTATGTTAGCTGGAACCAGTAATGTTACTTTTGATCTACAACATTACAACTGAGAAACAGGTCTGTCCTATAGGCAATAGGACTGCCCTATTCCTTTGGTTGGTAACCAGGAGTGTTTAGGAGGGGCTTAGGGCTACTTTTGGATCTTGCAAGTTACAGTGATGAGAATGATAACAGAGGTTTCAGAGGATCCCAGATGCCTGGATTACATAGACTATATGCCAGGTCTATACAGGGGGATGTGCCACAGCCTTTCTTCACATCTTCTGCTGTGCTCTGGTCTACATGCAAGAAAAGTCCAGATGCCTTGGTCAAACATGGCTCTCACCAGGTCCTGCAGATCTCAACACAGGCATGCTGCTGTGCTCATCAATAGGCAAATGTAAAGACAGCTGTGAGCTCTGCTGTTTAACTAATACACTGAATGCACGTCTGGTCCACTGTGTATAAGAAACAACTTGTTAATGGTCTAATATCTGTTTTAGAAATGTATTATCGCTGCAGGCATTGCATTCATTGGAAATAGAATATCCCTTTCCTATTTCATGTTAATTTTTAGCTGCCTTACCTCAACACAGTGACTTAATACAAGGATTAAAGAGCATGTATACCTCAACCAGCCATTCCTTTTGACTTGTCACTGACCCCCATGAGTTGCCTTGCATACGTGTCCTGGCACTTCATGTAAGAAAGGCTTGCCAATTTCCAAGTGTTCTAGCTGGAAAGGAGGTGTTGCTGCTTCCGTAGTGATAGGCTTAGTTTAAGTCTGAATTATGCCATGAACATTGGCAGGTTTTGTTTGTTTTGTTTTTCTGTTTTCTCTTAGGCACTTAGATTTCTTTGAAATGGTCAGAAATGAAGATGACCTGGAACTTGCCAAGCGATTTGACCTGGTAAGCTTTTCTCTGGAGTACCTGAACTTTCCAAGGCTGATCATGCACTTTGGATGCTTGGTGCAACTTCCTTTTGTGTTCCCTGAAAACAATGATTGACTTTGGTGCTGAGAGTGGCTGGTGCTCTTGTTTTCACGTTTCTCATTTAGCAAGCAGGGAATCTGTGATGTGTGAACAATGAAAACAATGATCACAGACAGGGCTTCTGCCAAGTATCTTTGACAAAGACTTCTTTCTTTTGTTTGACTGAAGGTTCAGGAGTGGAGGAGGTTCTCAACCCTGCTCTCATGTTCTCAGTCCCGATGATCCAGATGCATTCTAGTTTCAGACATCCCCTTTACATCCCCCTTTCACCCTCTATGGGTGAAGCTTGGGCTCTTCAGTGACGCTTTTCCCAAGATTACAGGAAACTCTCCTGAATAATGTCACCTCAGAGCCTGTGGAGAGGATCAGTGGTTTAGATGAGCATAAAATAAGGACAGTTTCCACAACCTCTAGCAGCAGGAAGAGGCTGTAGGGTCCAGTTATAGTTTGTTCTTTCTTCATGACCAGCTCTTACCATAGACTGATACAGAACAACTAGCCCTTTCCTGCTTAGCTTCTACTATTTGTGCCACTACTTTGTAGGACCCAAATGTTTTGCTTGCTCTTCTTGGTGATTTTGCATGCCTTCCGCCTTTCTAGCCCTTTATGGATCTTTTCCATACTGGAGTGGGGATGACAATGCTGGTCTCAAAAGCCCATGTTCTTGCTACTCACTGGAACTTGCAGCTGGACGTTGCAGGGGACACCACAGAGGTCCAGTTGCTGGAAATTTGCCTGTCTCTGTGTTGATCAGATCTTTCACAGTTAGTCAGGCTTTCACTGTGCATGGTTTTCTCTGACTTGTTCTTTCACTTTCACTCTCACTTCAGATCCACATTGATACAAAAAGTGCCTCTCAGATGTTTGAGTTGATCAAGAAGAGACTGAAGCACACAGATGCCTATCCCTATTTGTTATCCATCCTCCAGCACTGCTTGCAGATGCCATGTGAGTACATCCCTTCCAGAGCAAGAGGTATTGAAGAACTGGGTGAAGCTTTGGTGAACAGGGTCACAGATATCAGGACACACACTGTCCTTGTTTTCCATTCAGAACTTGGCAGTGGTTAAGGGACTTGGTATCTTCCACTGACTTCACCCAGCAGATTTTTGCTGCAATGCTTAAAGCAGCAGCTTGACCTCTCTGCACTTGCAAATAAAATTCCAGCTGAGACATTCCAGTTAGTCACTGACAGAGCTTTTAATGATTTTAGAGTTTTAAAAGAGAGTGTCACGCGAGAGCTCCTGAACTCAAACTGAAAAATAACATTGGCATTTGTTTTCGAGAGAAGTGATAGAAATCTTCTTGTTAACTGTAATAAAATAGTTCAGTTATGCTTCCAGAGTGTAGCAGCTGGGCAAAGGCATAACAAGATCCCTAAGGAACTGCCTGCCTTGATCCTGTTAGGTATCAGGTGCTGGTCTTCATTACTTTCAGCAATACTTGAGCAGTCAAATTGAGAAGGGAACATGAAGGACATGTTCTGTGGTGTGTTTTTTCATAAAGTAACAGGGTATATTTTCAGGCACTCATTAGATTGTGTACTACCATGAACAAATTCAAGAACTTCATCATAGTTGTCTCCTTGATATTACTCTTTAAGATAGTACTTGAGCTTTAGGTATTGACCTGGATTTTTGACGGCAGAAGGGCTAAATCCTGTTAGGCCAGGACAGGATTGTACTGGAGCAGTTTTAAAAAACGTAAAGGTCTAGGTTGTGTAACTCAGAGAGCTGCGGTGAGCTTTATATTGCTCTGCTCTTCTGTTTGATATCCATGGGATCACTTCCTTTGGTTCCATTTCTGTTCTTTCCTTTCACTCTTTTTGGTTGTGTTTGTATGAGTTTTTCATGCCAGTTGAGTTTCACTAACCTGCAGATAACCGAGCATGCAAATAGAACATCTGATTGTTTTTACAGTGCCTGGTAATGATATTACCTGGGTACCAAAAGAACTCCCAACATCGAACTCCCAACATCAAACCCCAGAAAATACTGAGTAACAGCTCTCATAAAGGAATTAGGTGTAATTCCTGTAGGTGTTTGAAGTGCAAGCTAGAGCTAATCTATCAAGAGGCTTGCACAGCCTGAATGTGCCAATCAGGTGCCGAGTTTCCTATACCTTTTATGTGCTACTTGTAAATAATCTGCTAGTAACAGTTTGGGGTTAGACTTTGTGTTCTATAATTTACTACATGCAAGACTGAGATGGAAGGTGGAAAGGAAGGAATGCCAGTCTTTTGGCAGATCTCTGCACTTTGGACTGGAAATGAAAGTTCTCATGGATTGGTCTTTTACCATGCAGATAAGAGGAATGGAGGCAGCTTCCAGCAGTGGCAGCTGTTGGACAGAATACTCCAACAAATTGTTCTTCAGGATGAACGAGGAGACGATCCAGATATAGCTCCGTTGGAAAACTTCAACGTCAAAAATATAATTAAAATGTAAGCTGTGTTATTGTTTATTTCTGTTATGCAGGTGTAAGTATATGATAAGTATGCAGGTACTTAGGAAATAAAATATCATATCTGAGGAGTTTCTTATTTTAACTTACAGCTTCTCATTGTCTTATTAGTCTTCCAAACAGTTTCCTTATAATGATGTCTTAACCAGACAGTATTTTCTAGCAAAGTCCTTGTTTTTGGCTTCTAATTCCTATTAAATATTAAGCTAGTTAGAGGAGCAGAAGAAATATCCGTGATATTATAACAAGGCTTCCTCATGTGCCTTTTTTCATTCAGAATATTGATGAAAGCTTTCATTGATATTCAAAAAAAAAAAAAAAAGTTTGGTCATCTCTACTTAAATGTCATTCCTCACTAATGAGCACATAGTTTAGAAAGATTTCAGTGAAAATGGTGCTAGCCCTCACCGAGCACAAAAAATTTTTTACCTCTTCATAAAAGGTCTGCATGCTCTCACCCACAGACTTGGCTGAGGGCACTACCATTATTTTTTCCCATAGGGTGCATCATTTGAGAAGTCTAGCTACATGAGCTGGCTCTCATCTCAACTTCCCTGTTCTCAGTCCTTTTTTAGCCAAACTTTTGGACTCTTCATCCCATCTGTCTGCCTCTGCAGGTAATTCATGGCCCATTACCCTTCTGAATTATCCACTGAAAACAGCATTTTTATCCACTGAAAAGAGCATTTTATGGAACATAAGCCTCATACAAAACCAAATTCTCCTGTACTAAAAATCTTACAGTCCCTCCTGTTGCAGGCATGAGCCAAAATCAAAAGTGATTTCTCATCATGGAAAAATACACCGGTATTGATGTCTTTCTGCCTGTCTGGATATCCGACTTCATTGTAGACCTTGTGTCTGATCTTCTCTTTCTACTTTCATAGCTGCTCCTCATTCTGCATGTCTAATCAATCCCCAGCATGCCCTGCATATTTTGTCAGTAGTAGGAAATAGCTGTGCCAGTATGAGATATGAGCATTGCCTTGTTACTGATATATTACCCAACAGATAAGCATCCTCCCTCCGTGTAAAAAAGAAAAAATAGAACCACAGAAAGTAGAAAAAAAAGATGGCAATCTGGTCTCGTATTAGGGGTGGGGTAATTTGTAACCCACAGCGGCTGTTATTTTAGTGATGACTTCTCTCTTTCAAAATAAATAGACTTGGCACTTTAAGGGCTTTACCTGAAGACATGAACTTACCAGGATTTTTTTCCCAGGCATTCTTTTATCCCTTTTCAGGACTTTGAGCACCAAGCCATCATATTTATAGTATTAGCTGTTGGCTACAGTAAGGATCAGGATCGGGAACCAAACTGGCCACTGGTATGATCCTGTATAAATATGTAAATTCACCAAGTTGCCTTTTACTGATCGCTACACATAAGGGGCACTTGCCTTTCAGCCTGGGTAGCTCAGAACAAGTTTAAATGATTTGATTTCATCTTTCAGGCTGGTGAATGAAAATGAAGTCAAGCAGTGGAGGGACCAGGCAGAGAAGTTTCGGAAAGGTGAGTGTGTTTTCTGTCCTTGGAGAGGCAAAAGAGGAGGCAAGACTGATCCTGATTCAGTCACAGAACAACAGAGCTGGGCACAACTTTTCCTTTTGTGGACAAACACTGCTTTGTTCCCTCCAGTGTGTTGGTCTCATGGTGACCAGTTTATGTGTTTCATAGGATGGGGCTTCCCTCAATCCTCACATGAAGCAGTTTTTACAGTTTAGGTGAAACTTGGACATTGCTGTCTTGATCACTGAAGATCACTGTCGAGACAGTCAGATTCTGTTTTCTTTTTCCTTCTCTCATTATACCTCCCCAGTTGAACTGACAAATTTGTCAGCTTTATTTCAGCATAACCTGCATCTCTTCAGGGACTGTTCATGAGCTTTATTTCATCAGCCCCACTTGCCTGTTCCCCTTAGATCATGCTGAGCTGATGAGCAGGCTAGAGAAGAAGGAGCGGGAATGTGAGACAAAGACCCAGGAGAAAGATGAAATGATGAAGACACTGAACAAAATGAAGGACAAGCTGCAGAAGGAATCCTTGGAACTGCGCCAGACCCGGGACCAGATGAACGACCTAGTGGCTCAACTTAATGAGTTCTCGGTATGAGACTGGGACTCTTCCCATCCTTGTTTAAAGCCTGCTAACAAGTGGATGATGAACAAAAGCACATTATGAGTGAAACAGTTTCTATGGTCAATACAGAGGGAATCTATCTAGCCAGCTACAAAGATGAATACTTAGAAGCGGGTCAGCTTTTAGCTGAGATCGAAATCCCTGAGCCAGTGGTATAGAATGGATAGTGCATGGGCTGCTCCATTCCTTCTCCTCAGCCACCTTCCTTGCAGGAACTGCTGAGGCACACATGTCCTCCTCCAACCATAATTTTTACTACTGAGTAGGATGGCCCTGGTTGTCATTTCAGTGAAATAGAGAGAAATCTCCCAGATACAAAAGTAAATTTAGTGAAGAAACTGGCTTCCTGTCATGCTTCAAGAGCATCTGTACTGTCTTGGAGATCTGCAGAAGTGATATTTGCAGCTGCTCACTCCTGCTTGGTGCTCCTCTGTCCCGGCAGTGTGCCTGAGCCTCAACTTGCCAGGACACAGCCCTGAGAAGTTAGACACTGCAGAAACCAGATTCATTCCCTCCTCCTCTCTCCCACTTTGCATTAGTGGGGCCTAATGACAGGTATTCAGTATTTCAAACCCTAAGGTTTAAAACCCAGGAGTTCAAAAGTTCAAAAGATTGAATTTTTCTCTTTTTTCATACATAAGGAGAAAATAATACATTTTGGCTTCTTTTACTAGCTTTCTGTTTTTCTGAGCCATTTATGGTTCCTTTTTTCAAGCTCTTCTCCACAACTTCAAGAGCTTGAAACTTTCTCTTAAATGAAAGCTGAGATTCCTCCCTTTATTACATGGCTTTGAGTGCAGGAGGCTTTAAAGAAAACATCAAATATTTTGAGACTTGTAATAAAATCACATCAGCTGGCAACATGGAATTATTGTGCCTTTTAAACTGTTTGCTTTCTTTTTCTGTGTGGTTTTTTTGTGTGTTCCAGCAAGGGGGCAGCATTTCCTTCCCGCCCCCACCTCCCCCTCCTCCAGGTGGCCCATTAGCTTTGTCCTCTTCTCACCTGTCTGAGAATTTGCCTCCGCTGCCACCTCCTCTGCCGTTCTCCAGCTGTCCTCCTCCTCCTGCTCCACCACCTCCTCCAGGAGGACCACCTCCACCACCAGGAGCACCACCTTTCTTCAGCATGGGGATGCCACCTCCTTCAACAACCACCTTCAGCAGCAGTGGCACCAGCCTGAAGAAGAAATCTATCCCACAGCCTTCACACCCACTGAAATCCTTCAACTGGGCTAAGCTGAGTGAGGTAAGAAATAGCAGTACTCTCAGCAATTAATTTACTTTCTAAGTATAACTTGGTGTTGCTTAATGCCATGAAGTGCAAAGTGACTGAAGCAAGTGATATTGTGGCTTTCCTTGGGCTGAGGTCAGTAGGAGTCGGTAACTGCCTTGAGGGAGTCTCCCCAGCTCTCCAGCAGTGCAGCAAATCCCCTGTGATGACCGAGGTGCTGGTTAGATTGGGGTGCGGTAGATCTGGGCGTGCTGTGTGTTAGGCAAAGCTGTAGTGGGAATGAATACATAAGCTAGGATTGGCGTGCCAGAGCTGCCCTCACTTGCGTGTCAGGGAAAAGGATGGCCAGAGCAACGCGGGCAAAATGTGGTGAGAACCAGCTCCAAAATCAGCCTTCTGTACCCTGGCAGGAGCCGTCACCATGGAGAGAAAGGTGGCCTGATTCTCCTCACCGTTTGTTCACAGCCACAAAGCAAGCTGCCCTTCTCCTTGCTTGCACAATTAAAACTGTCTCTTGGTGATAAAACTCCAAATTGGCAATAAAAACAGAGAACAACTTGGATTATTCCTGTTGCACTCATTTTCTACTACCTTGGTTGCCTCTCCTTCCCCTCCGCTTCTCTCTCTTCCTTCTCTCTCTCTTCCCCCGCCACCTCCCTTTCTCTTTAGGTCTTAATTTTTTTTAACTGATTGAGAAAGAGAAAAAAAAAAGTGTCTATGTTGAGTTTGGATGGCTGCCTAGAAACCCAGGTTCTCTTTTAGACTGAAACTCACCCAGGGCCCAACTCCGGCATTTGGAATGAGTGTCCAGGGACCTCTGGAATGCCACAAGAATTCTCTCTCCCCCTCTCTCCTTTTTCTTTAAAATAAAGTGAAATATTTGCTGCACCGTCTGTGCTTGTCTGTCAAGGCCACGTGGGGGGTGTGGGAGAGAATGTAAGGATGGGGATTTATTTTCTTTTGCAGAACATGGGACTTAGTGCTCTGAAGAAAAGAAATAATAACTAATATATGTATATATATGAATGTATATGAAAAGGAGAGAGTCACAGGTGTTTCTGTTTAGTGTACAGTAACTGTAGGCTTATCCTGCCCTCTGGTTAGGAGTGAAGGCAGCTGTGCTAATAAAATTGAAGACCTGGGTGGTGAGGTGGGGAAAAGATGCTATTTTCAGGAAGGCAGAATAGTTGGGAAGGGGCATAACAGGGTGGGGTTTTCATTGCCAGTGTTAGTGTTTTGACCTAGTAAAATCTCAGCAAAACTGCAGAGGCTGTGGTGCAGACACAGGTGGGTTGCCTTGTTGTTTGGGGTGCACTTCGTTACAGAATTACTCAATTCCACTGACTGCTGGGTGAGGCAATATGTTTTGGCCGTCTTCATCAGTTATTCTAGATTCCCCGCTCCAGTGCCAGTTACTTTTTTTCTGTTCACATGGATATAAATCCTCTGAATGCAAAGGCACTGGTAGGTTGGATGGTCTCATCTTGCCTTTTTTGCCATTAGGGCATTTCTGGGGTGGTCTCCTGATCTGTCAAAGTAGCCGTACACGAATGAATGAAGACTCACAACAAGCACGCTGACTGGGACCAGTGTGTCTCGGGTTTTTGGGCATGGGAAACTGAGGCCTGGAAGTGTGCGTGGTATTACTGTGGTTCATGGTAGTGTTTAAATTCCTATTCACATGAATACAATTTTTGTCCAGAAAAACATTTTGAGGAAAAATACATCTGAAACTATGTATATGTTTGTTTTTTTTTTTTTTAAAAGACCAATCTAGTAGGCAAAGAGCACAGGCATGTCTCCACAGGGAGTTGTGGTGACACAGTGTTGGAAACACAGCTGTACACAAACTTAGGGCTGCAGTCAGGTCAAGTAAGTTCAGCTCTTAGGTATCTCTACATACTGTTTAGGCCATCCTTCTCAAAGCAGTTAGTACAGAGTGTCTCTCCTAAGCTTTCTTAAGTGAGAAGATGATGCCAGGACTCAGGCAGTCCACATGAGAGTGAGCCCCGTTCTGTCAATGCAGCCTACCTCAAGAGAGTGAGAGAAAGCCAACTGAGCCTGAGAGGAACATGGACAGGGCTGACCGAGAGGGATTTGTCTGCAATATACTTTCTCAGTAGCGTAATCAAGCTGTTCTCCAGGGAAATTCATATGACACCTTTTTTCCCAATGCTGATATTGTCTTTGGAAGGAAAGGACTGAGCTATTGGGTGTTAGGAGAATGATCAAATATATTCAGACTCTTAGCAGTTAACAATAACAGATTGTCCACAGTTCCCAAGGGCACTACGAAAAAAGGTTTGACTGGAAAGTATTCCTGCTTTGAACAAGGACACTCCAACAATGGGCTGATTTCCTTTGAGAATTAAAGATTTTACACTAGCTTTGATGCGAGCTGACGATCAGTGGCAAAGCTGTTTAGATGGATGGACAGGCTGAGTTCTGGTGAAGCCCTTCCACATCACAGCTCCATTCATACAGCACTGTAGCATTGTCTGTGAATTCCATTCATACAGCACTACGGTAGTGCTGGTGCCAAGGATCTCTGTTTTTTAAGAAAAAGATATTGCAATGTAACCACTGTAATGTCCTGGAAAGATTCCTTTCTTTGTTTCTGGGCAGCGAGTGGGTTTGCTCTCCCACTCTGAATTTTACACAACACCCAAGGTCAAACAGGGACCAGACATTTATGGTTAATCAAAATGATGGACTGGTTTCAAGCGCACTGAAAGTATGGATCAATATAATTACCTCTTTGATAACTTCAAATCAATATGTTTATATTTATCAGAGTAAATCAAGTCAACATTCAACTGCACTACTTGTTATCTCATGGTTGAAGAAGCCACTTCCCATTAAGAGTCAGGCTGGCTATGACTGTAGTCAATGATTTGAAAGGGGCTTTCTTTAGTCAGCCCTAAATAGACGTGGGTCAAATTGTCTTAGAAGAAATGTATTTGTTCTACAAACCACATAGGATTTAAAAAAAAAACCAAAACACACAAAACCCAAAAAACAATCATATAAACAGAAAATGTTCATTTTGACACTATTTTTTAAAAAAATGTTTCTGTAATGTTATTGATGATTCTGATTTCTGGAACTTTCTTCCTAAAAGCTGCCTGAGGATCACGGCAAACAATGATTCAGGACTGCTGCCAGAGATTCAAAATTAATGGAAAAATTTCTACAAAATCTCAGTGTGAAGCTACTCATAATAGCCTTGGTGGTGCCTCGTCCTACAGTGAGATAAAACATCTGTCTCAATTATCAAACATGCCAGAAATACAATTTTTGCTCAAAGTGGATTTTTCTTACACTGAGGAAAGGATCTGATAGCAAGAGAGAAATGTGGAAAATGTACTCTGTTCATATCTCTTTTTCATATTCATAATGGAATTATGAATTAAAATTTTAAGTTGCTTCACTTTTTGTTGGTTAATATTTTACAAATATTAATGTACTAATAAACAAGATTGCCTGCTTCAGTATTCACAGAACACTCATAGTTTCTATGGTTTCTCTGGACCTGCAGGACAAATGAAAGGCTTTCCCAAAGTACTGTAAGTTTTCACTCATGCTGTGAGGTTATTGACGCATGATGGACTTTGGTGGTTTGCAGAATATCACTATTTATCTTTCAGGGTAAATAAAATCATCTATTAGATGAAGGATAGGACAGCTCAATATAATTTGTAGCTCCGTGAAACACTGTCATTCTCTAATCTTGGTGGGTGTCTCAGCAAATTTGGCTTCATTACAAAGGTGGAATGACATAACTGCAACAGCTACGGTGAGCAAATTTTTAAAGGCAACGTACTAAAAACAGCTTGGTGGAGCAAATGCCTTGTCAATACTTGTTCTGATAATGTTTCCTTACCTGGTAGGTACTACCATTTCCAGAGGACACTGGGAAATGTAGTTCATAGGATTTGCTTCCCAAAGAAGGCCAAGACTTTGGAAAGCAGAGGAACCACAGATCTTGGAAGACTTGCAGAATGAATGAATGAATAAATAAATAAATATGGGGAGAAAAGCATGTTACAGATGAAGTGATCTCTGTCTTTTTTTTCTTTTTTTTTTTTAAGGAGATAGAATAAAGGAAAAAAAAGAAATAAAGAATTTACTTTCTTTTTAAATAGTTATTTAGGGACCATAAATATTTCTTATGGTGCTGAGGGAATCATTTATCATAGCAACCACATTATGCAAGTCTGTTTCTCTTAAAACACTCAGTCTCTCTGGCTGATGACAAGGAACTATCAGCCAGTTAATCCATAACTGAGTAGCAAGAGCCTCAGTATAGAAAATTATCTGGCAGCAACCTGAAAATTTTCAAGGGCAGAGCTTAGGGTAGAAATAGAAGGGACAGTCGCATTGCAAGTGTTTCGTGTAACTAGGGTTGTTTATACCTCTGCCTGCCCAGTTTTTTCTTTGACTGGATTAGCCTGTTTCATTTTTAAGCACTAAAATTGAGTTGCACAAAGTTCTGTTTGTGCTCACCGTGCAATGGGTGCTGCTTTGGAATTTGTCTTTCTGCTAAAAGTAGCATACAAACCATCCTGTACAGGACCAGATTCAGCCTGGGTCTTAAGATGAATCTGAATTGAAATGAGAATCATTTTAACTTCTTCGGGTTGTTTTTCTGGGAAAGCACGGATGAGAACTATTCTCTGCAATCCCTTTGCGAGCCTCAGAGTGCCTGTTCTGGCACCTCTACGATTCATTGGACTAGCCTGTTCTGTAGCACGTTTTCACTGTTCTTGCCGTTTGTGGGGAAACTTCATTCCCATGAGAGCTTTACAGCCAGACAGGTAGAGGGCAAGACTCTCATGAGTAGCTGTTTCTTGAGTCACATCCAGCCTTCTGCCAAACACAGCATATAGCTTTCTGGCATCCTCAAGGCTCTATCCCAATGATGACTCTAAGGGCTGCTCCTGAAGTCATATCCACTGGCTCCTGTCAAGAAATGTTCTTCCATTTCAGTGCCTGATGGGACAACCTGAAACAGTAAGGAATTCAGAGAACTGCTCTGCTGTTCAAATACATCCCTCAGGATTTATAATTCAGGATTTATAAAGCCAGCCTGGAAATTGAATGAGAATGAACATTCTGCCTGGATGCTTCTGGCTAAGATTGGCAGTAGAGTCCACGTTAGGATAAAATGAAAATTAACTTTGTCTCCTGTGCCTTCGGCTGAGATGAGCTTCCCAAACTCATTTGTCATGTTACAGTCACAGGGTCATGATGTTTTTCCTACTATGGAAAGAAGACCCACACTGTTTGCAAGGAATGATACAATGATATTGGTGAGCCTGTTCAGGGATGGGTGCTGCTCGCACCCTGGCGTATGCTCTCACTGTAAATGGCACCGCAGACACCCCTCCTTGCCCTCAGGCACTCACAGGCTGCCTCTGGAGGGAGGGTGTTGGTTTTCCTCCACAGTGTCTGCCCTGCCAGGAATTTCCTCCAGAACACTTCACGCTTTTATTTCCCCCTCATTTCATCCTCCCATCAGGTGTTTTTCCTTGCTCCTTGAGCCTTGTGGCTTAGCACATTTCCCTCATTCCTTTGATGACTGTGAATGGGAAGTAGAGTCTGTTCCTAATTAGTTCTGATAATGAAGTGTTAACGCACTTTGCTGTGTAGGTACAAGTCAGGTACTTCAGAGCTGGAGCCTGGGTGAGGGTTTCATTGCTATTGCCTGCTGTTCCTGGCTTTCTCTGCATCAGTGTTCTGCTGGCTCTTCTTCTCCTGAGGTTTGCTTAGGTCTCTTTTTACAATCCCTTCTGTACGTTTCCTTTTTCTTTTAATCAGCACCTTCCTATTTTTCCAGTTAATAAAATACAATAAACGTACACTTCATTAACTAAGTGATCTGAAAGACAGTGTTGTCAGGTGCGAAGAGCAAGTTTTTCTTTTCTGAATGAGTAATTGCCCAAAGCTTGTCCCACACAGCATGCGCCTTAACAGTCAGTAGGACAGAGAAGGTAGTTCAGTCTTTTGTGTCCTCTTGCCAGCAAGGACGTCTGTCCTGAGAATGTCGGCAGGAGACCCCAAGGCCTTCTCCTGCTTTAGGATGACTGCTGATTAGATAATTCATGTACTACAAGAGCTTATTTTGTCCGGGGTTGGTTGGGGGAGGACTCCTTGCCTGTCTCTCTCCATGCTAATCATCTGCCAGACAGCTAGGAGTCACTGGCATTCAGGATAATATATCATGTGGGTTGTGAACATTTCCAGTTAGTGTGGATGATGCTATTTCGGAGATCTGGGTATAGTTTGTGTCTATCTTAGTCAACAAAGGACTCATGTAGACAGGGGAGATCATGTAATAGGAAACAATTAGGCTTCAAAGACTCAGAGCCTTAAAAGTGAAATAAAATAAAGTCTTAAACTACATTCACAGGCAGGCAGAATGAAAACCACACACCCTTTGGGGTTTACAACAGAACCTGGCAAAATTTGCAAAAGGGAAGATTTGTGTCTTGGGTTTGTCATGCATCAGTGCCCTTCCTAAGCTTTTTCCTCATGATGGGAACACTTCTTTCAGCATGACCACAATCATTGTGTTAGACCGATGGACACTCTTGAAAGGAAACTTTATTATGGGATCATGGATATTGCTTGAGATGTGGTCTGCTGGTCTTGGAATGTGCCCTGTCATCGGAGGCTTTCTGTGATGAAAATACAAAATACTCAGTATGTTTAAAAAACAAACAAACAAAAAACCCTGAAAAACACACCACTATTTTTTTCTCCTTTGACTCCGAAACAAAGTATGCCCTCTAAAATGACAGCAGCAGTGTATAGGAATAAAATAGATAAAAGCTTTTGCTGTCTCATTAAAATATGACCTTTTCTTTCAGGAGAGGATCCATGGCACAATCTGGAATGAGATTGATGATTTAAAGGCATTCAAGGTGCTGGATCTAGAAGATTTTGAAAAGATGTTCTCCGCCTATCAGAGACACCAGGTAGGGTTGAACTTTTCCACACCTTGTCTTTCTTGAATTTCTGGAGAATGGAGATCACGACAGTGATCCGGGCCCTTGTCTACCTGCAGTCAGGCTGTCTCATTTGCCGCTCTGCCACTGTTCAAAAATCACAAGACTAAAAGAAGTGAGGAGGACATATAGGGCAAAGTATAACCTTCTCTTGTCAACATACTTCATACTAATGGGCAGCTCTTGGAGACAACAGCCCCCAAAATGTAATGCTCTATTTGATCTCAGCAGCCGCTGGCTTCCAAAAGCTCCTGAGATTTAAATTCATGCTTGATATCCATCTTTCTATTTCTCCCATTCATTCAGAGAAAAATTCTGTAGTTGCTTGAGTACTGAGCAAGGTGACTGAATTAGCTGTCTTTCGCTTTGTCTATTTTTTCTTAAACAGCCAACTGACCCAACTGGCTAGATGACAGAAACTGTCTGAATTACAGATTATAACACAAACAACATACTTTAAAAGAAGCCATTTATTAGAATGTCTTTTTTTCCTCCTCTTTTTCTTGGAAAGCAAGTCACCTTTAAGCTGTCTATCTCCACTGAATGAGATTTAACAGGAGAGGGATTGTACTTGCACTCCTTGAACTCCTCTAGCTTTCCTTTTCTTTTGGAGTATGTTTGGAGAAATTCCATCTGTTGTACTCTACAGAATTGGATCATTGCTTTGAAGTTTTAGGAAAAGACACAGACATGATTGCCATAAGCAACCTTTATGATTAAGCTTTACAGTGATGATGACTACTTCATTCTCATTATGGTTAACTTATACATTACCTTAAAATTAACAAATGCTTTGTCTTTGGTCTTTCCATCTGTTCTCTTCTTTCTTTCATTTTTCTATATAATCCAATAAACATATGAATAACTCTTCTGATTTACTAGCTCACAGGCACCTAGATAAGCATCCCAATTTGAACTGCGAAGAATGTGGTGTTACCTGTTGCATGATGAGATGTCATTTCTCATTCTGCTCCTGCAAATAGCTGTTGCTGTTTCAGTGGGTCCCTCTCTTTCTGTGAATCCCATTCCCTGAAACAAGAACTTAGTTCATAGAGGGGAAGAAAGGCACATAAAACTTCAGTGCTGTTACAAGGTTGGATTTAGACCCTGTGCCAACAGCTTAGCTATAGTTTTGAGCTCCCGGTTGTCTTGCAAGTAGCCAGGCTGTAATCTATGCACATGAGCAGCCATTGCAGCATCAAGGTGACGTTCCAATGTTTCTGGTGCAAACATTGCAGCTTCCTCACTAGAAATGACCTTGCAAAGCCTTGCTTCCTTTGGGCCCCAAAATCTAAAGCCAAAGCTGTCCTGGTCTGCCGACTCTCAGTTAGAATCATAATATTTATGGCTGTATTAACAATCACTGAAAAGCAGCCCAGCCTATTCAACCATAAACTAACCTGACCCTTACCCCTGCCCACTGGAATAGAGCCATCATCTCAGAGTGACCTCCATGGATCTCAGAACAGTTCTCTTCCATCCTCTAATGACACTTTATGACAGTGGCTCCAGACACTAGAGTATCACTTATGTAAGCTGCTACTTTTGTGTAGTTAGGTGTATTGCTGCCCTTCCAGCTTTCATTGACGGTTTTGTTGGTTTTTCTTTTCCCTTAAATATTCCATCGTTATTACTTTATATGATACTTTCTTTTCATCCATACTCACTCCAGTGTGAACTGGATTCCAATCAACAAATCCTCATCTTTTTTTTTTTTTTTAAAGCAAAATTGCTTTTGAAATAAAATCTTATGAGAACTTTTCCAGTTGATTCACACTTAGTCTTTTCTTCTCTTTTCTTTTTGGAAATACTCCACTCTGGCCAAGTATGTGTTTACCCTGGGTTTGTGACTTTTAAACTTCATCCAAATGTCTGTAAAGAAAAATGTCAATGCAAAGCCCTGCTCTTTTGCATCTGAAATGTTGAATGAGTACAGATAAAGACATTTCTTTGCTGTTATTAACATGATCTTCATATTTTTCCAGTTTCATTTACATTAAACAGCTTTTCTTTCTTCTTCATTTTTTTAATGACAAAGGGTCTCTTCTCCTCTCTCAAGCCCAGTGTATTGTTTTTGGTGGCTATGAGAGAAAGCAGAATTGTCCAGTGTACAGAATGCTGGACCAAGAATTCTTACACTTGTCTTTTGACCTTGCTCCAATCTTACTGTGTAATATGGACCTTTTGATTCAGTATATCTGACATTTTCCTGGAGTATGGAATATGTTGTGAAATAGTTCGTGTCTGTTACCCAGTAGTGCTGTAAGTCGTCTTTGGTGGTTACAGAGTGCTTTCAAAACACTTGGCTGTAAGTTGTTAAAGCGTATAGTGTGCCGTTGAAACAAGTTGTTACTCATAATGGCAAACTGTACCTGTGCATCAGGAGAGGAGAACTGACCCTCAAGTTTTAATCTTGGCAATCCTTCCAGTAAGATTCTGGACTAGATTTGTAAAGGTATTTAAGCATTATCCTGGTTAATGTTTCAAGACCTAAGAGATTTATGCTTTGGAAACTGAATTTATTCTTTTCAGAAAAGACCTAGAACTCTTAATTCCTCAACATCTGCTGATTTAAAATATGCAAAGAAATGCTGAAATACCTTTGAACCATCTGGGCCAGTATTACTTGCTAAGCGTTTTATTCCCTTAGAAAACAGTGTGTGTCTAAATTCAGCTGCCTTGTTAAACTTGATATCTTTCTCTGTGACTAATTTTTGGCATGTTTCCTTCTTCGTTATTTGCTGCCGCTGCCTGCATAGGACCTGCTAACTAACCCTTCCTCCTGTAAGCAGGTGAGTATCATTGTCTGCCTCCTGATCCTCTCGCAGTCTGTGGGAAGGTGAAGTCCTGGACCATGTCATTATGGGGTCATGACTCATCTCGTGCTACCTTTTCCTATGCCCTTGCACCTCTGCTTTCTGGGTGGGGAAGATGGTAGAATAAAATTCCTGTAGTTGTATTAGCTCTGTGAAAGGAAGTAGTTCCTGTTCTTTCACTTAGCTATAACCTCACTATAGTTTCTGCTGGTGTCTGTAGTCCCCTTTTTGATGATCCTGGGAAAGAGATCAGGGGCAAAGTAGAATGTGAATGTGAACTCTTCTTTAACCAAAGCAATAGTCTCTCTAGTGCAGAACAAAAGGGGCTCTCAGGGAGCCTTCACTTCCACTGTTCTCATCTGTGGTCCATCTGCTTTAGACAATACTGAAGTCTCCAGATGTATCCACTAGCCACGGACTTTCTGATAAAAAAAATCTTTTTTTCTGTAGAGCCAGAAGGCACTTTGGGCAGAAGGATTTGTGGCAGCTGTGGAGCAGAAGGGTTAGACTAGAGGAAAGCCTACTTCATTTCGGACTGCTGAAACCCTCAGAAAGTTCAGCAAAGACTGAAATGGTATTTAGATGAAGTAGAGATACCAGACTGCCCACATGTCTTCGAACTGGCAACCTCTCAATTTATTCATTATTTTAAGCAAAATTCTTGGCAACGCTTTTGGGAAGAGCAATGCTCTCACGAGAGGGTTGTTCAGATGTCATCACCAGTGTCTCTGGCAGCTTCAGAAGAAAGTAGTCCTCTCCATGAGTGCTCAGGGAACTGTATTTGGAAAGTCTGGTCAGGACCTCTGCCACTGGGTGAGGCTAATACATGGCTCTGGGCCATTTGCTGGCTTTCATCATGGCAGCATGCACCATGAAACAAGTCAATATGATAGAAATAGTTCCCTAAAGTGCTGATAATTACTGAAACCTAGGGTGCTGCCGTGGTACCAGACCACAAGTTCTGCAGCTAACCGAAATCAAACTATTTGAAAGAGGGCAACAATATGATGAACACATTCCACATGTCTAGTCATCCCAGCACTGAAATTTTAGTTGATTTTTGAATTTGCAATTGAAATCTCAAACGCGAGATAGTCTTTGAAGCATGTAACATGATGTTATCCCTGACAGAGTGTTGGTAAAGAACAATAGGATAAAAGTTAGGGATCTTGTCGGCCAGGTTGACAACAGGTCCAACTATTCTTGCTTTGTGTGCTTGACTTGTCTCACAAAAGCTGATCACTACTGCCCCCTTGCTTCTCTCCTGTGTCTAAGAAAATGCAGATAGTCCATCTGCAATCTATTTTCCTTCAGCTAAACTTGCAATCTGGCTTTGGTAAAACCTGAGACTTCGTCTGCTTTTGCTTACACACAACTCCAAGTATCTATAAATATCTCTCTCCTCAATATGAGTTGAAGAGAATATATTTTCAGATGATACTAGCCCACTCCTTATGACCAAGGAGTAGGCCACGTTTGAATAGTTCAAATTATTCATCTGTGTTGAACCTTGTGAGTTGGGGAATTTGAAATGCCACGGAGATTATTATACCAATCCTGCTGCATGGCTTTAGGGGAAGCCATCTACACCCCCATCCTACATGCACAGCCAAACCCTGAAACAAATTTTTTTCCCCCTTCAGATGGGTGCTGGTTAACACTAACCAGGTGTGCTTGTCTGCAAACATTAGCTACTGAGGAACAGTGAAGCTTCTAAACCAAGAGCACAGATCAACAAGTATCTTTCCTACCTTCAGTAGCTGCCTGTCTCTCCATTCCCCTGTCTTCCTCTCCACAAACTAAGGAAACTCAGGAAAACTTTGACATCTCTACATGCCAGATTACTCTGAGGGTGCCCTGATTTTTTGGGAATGTTAGTTATCCTCTCAGAAATAAGGAACTTGCCCAATGCCCAAGTTTTCTTTTTTTTTTGGAAATACTTTTTGATGTATCATTTACCATTGCAATTTTTTTCTGCCAAACTAGATACTTTGGGCATGTCCAGCAAAACTACTGTGTGTGTGTCTTCAGCTGGTGCATTGTACCTGCTTATGAGTGCCACTTAGTATTGGTGGTGGCTTGCTGCAGCATTTGGATGTGGTTGTATGAATCCTTTATATATTCAGGAGCAACACAGTCTCATTGTAGCTGATTGTATCAAGAGCTCAAATGGCAACTAGCAATATGACTCTATGATTTACATTTAACTCTCCAATGGTTGGGTGTCAAAATCTCTTGGACTGGATTAGTCATGCTGATGTAAGTGATCCCTGAGCTGCAGAACCTTGAGTCCTGGGAGTGAATTCTGGGAAGCACCACTGTATGCTTGCCATGATCTTACACCTTTCCCTGGGTATCTGCTGTTGACCACTCTCAGAGACAGGATACTGAGGCAGATGGACCTTTTAATCTGACTCAGCATGCTTGCTGTTATGTCCTAAGAAAGAAGTCACATTGCTAATTTGATGGGTGAATTCAAAGCTAGATTATACTGGTAAATCTCAAAATCTCAAGGCGTGACAATATGGATATCATGGAAAGGCATTTTTGAAAACATTCCAGCAGCAGTTAACTGGGAGAATAAAAACTGTCCTCTTTCCAATTCCCTCTTCTCTGTTGATAATTAGAGAGCTATTATCCCGGATTAACACCTTTTGTCTTTACCTCTACTTACCTTTAAGGAGTGGTGTTAAAAGATACTCAGAGTAACTACAGAAAGCCAATCTCTGGAAGTGAAACAAATCCTATTACTCTGGTGTGTAGGCAAGACAAGGAAACAGAGACTTCTGGATGATCAAACTGGGTTTGCAAATAGTTTCTCTCTGTGTGCTGTGGCAAGTGTTTTGGACAGAGATTTTCTGGTTTTTTTTCCAGGTGATGAGTTTGGCAATAGGGCTATACAGAGAACTTTGAAAAAAAAAAAAAAAGTAGTTTCAGTATGATTAAAGATATTAACTATTTAAAAAAGAGAAGCTATTTCAGATGTAGATGTTGACCATTTTGTAAGATAAACACTATCTTGCCCTACTATTTGCATTGAACTGGTCCAGTGGCAGCTTTAAAGGATGATGGAAGGATTTTTCCTGATTGAACTGCAGCTTTTCAGGAATGCTGTATAACCCCTGCAAGAGGATATGCTGTGACACCAGTGGGCTTTACCATAATGTGCCCGATTTTCCTGTCATGCAAGTTTTGCACATTAACATAATAACATAACTGTTGGTAGAGTGAGTCCAATAGGTCAGAATCAGGTCCAGTATTTGGAGTCAAAGATGATCTCATAGGTGGTAATGAATGACTTCTGTTTGTCCAGTAATACAGGACATCTACCTACATGTTTTCTGCCCTTCTTGTCTCCTTTTCTCACCATGTGGGTGGAATTTCCCAGGTTGGGATGGGGTTTGTGTGTTACGCTCAGCTAAGCCTATCAGTCTTAAGTGAGAAACATAATACTGATTGTTTTCCCTCCCTTTTGACTTATATGCAGAAAGAGATGGGTTCAACAGAAGACCTTTACCTCTCCACACGAAAGGTGAAAGAGCTCTCTGTGATTGATGGCCGGAGGGCCCAGAATTGTGTCATTCTCCTTTCCAAGTAAGTGTGCTAAACCTTAGCTCACAGGATATGCCATGGTCAATGTAGAGGCAAGAGAGGACGGAGCTAAACAGATGGACATGTTTCTTTTCCCAGCTAGACCTGCTGTCTAATACCTGCCGAGCTTCAGAGAAACCTCTCTTGCAGTGTCATAAAAGCACATGTCTCTCTGAAGTGTTAGCTCACTTAAAAAATATATGCACACCCACATTTTGTGTATTAAACAGATAGACAGCAGTATGTGTCTGAAGACTCATCACCAAGAAACTATCAGTACTCACAGGTAGATGAAAGCAGCTCTTTGGCAGTGCTTGCACTTCACTCTAAGTGATGTGTCCCCCATGCTCTGGGTATGTCATTTGTCTATGTTCTGTATGTTTCTTTCTAAATGTTGCTCTGAGCATCTCCCTGGAATACAGCAGAGCTGAGAGTGATGTTCATCCTTGTCATTTTTGACTCTTAGTGAGAAAAGTGGTAAATGTAAGAAGATATATTCAAGAATTAGGTCTTGTATTTGTAAATTAGGTTTAGGAAGCCAGGAGTTGCCTTTGCATGCTCCTGCGATGACTAATGCCTTCAAATGCTGTGACATAAGGGCCCTCTCTATGCTTTTTATGTCTTTCTACCAACATGAGTTACTGGGCTGGATGTCTGTTACTAAATATCAAATTTGTGCTGACACTGATCCACCTGAGAAAGTTGCCTTTTCTACCAGAGGAGGGACAGCGGGGCTGGAAACAGAATCTGGGAAAGCTGTGGCAGTACTGAGCAACAGAACAGTTTCATTGATCAGTAGAAAATGCAGGTTCATATAGATGTGATTGCTTGTCTGGTCTAGCAAGCTAACGGTTAAAAGCAAAGTTGCAGCCAGACCACCAGGACCAGAGCGAGTTCTTTCCATTGCTTAGCGAAACCCACGGAGGCTCTTGTTATGCTACTTATGTGGCATTAGCCTGCATGTCAGCAGGACCCCCACCATCCAAACCAGCAATGAGGGAAGGCTTACATTTCTCTCTCTGCAGCAGTTGCCAACGGATGTCTTTGGTGGTGTTGGCAGCTGACTGCAGGCTGGGGCAGAGGAATGGGGAGGCATAGGGGCAACAGGATTTTCATGCTGTTTGACAGACCTGCTAAAGTGTGCCTGGGGTTCAAATTAACTGATGTAAGCACATGGAACGTTTCCTAGAAGTGGTAACATAGTGTGTGCAGGTGGCTGGGCTGAGGAGGATCCAGGAAGGTGGTCTGTGACTTGGTATGACACTACATATTTATTTGTAAAAAATCTTCTCTATCTCCAAAACAAAAGCAGTGTGGACAGCAAGCAGTACATGTTTTTCACCATCGCCTCTTCTACTGTGCAAGACTGGCCCACTCTTAGCTGAGAGGAATCCTCTCTAAACGGTGAGAGAGAGAAAGGACAGTCTCTGTGCTTTGTCTTCCTTTCTGCTGCCTTCAGCTAAGTGGTGTTGAAGCAGGAACTTTGCACTTCAGGGTATGCAGTGAGTGTTCACTTCAGGTGTGCCATGAAGTCAGTTCACCTCAAGATGCTAGTCTGGGCTCAAACCAGGGATGAAAATCTGTGTTCTGTGATTGTCAGCTTCTCCACTAGGAAATATCCTGGTCTTACTGTTAGCAGGACTAACACAGATGATAGACATTTGGAGACTGAGCTCTCTGTCCCTAAAGAGCCTGCTGGTCTGTGTTGTGCCCTGTTAACTTCGCTATGCTGTGCTATGAGAAACACCAGTCACCAGGTCTATCACTGGCTTAGATCATTTAATGTTTGTAACAGATAGTGTTACACTCAGGATATCAGAAATATCTTACAGCTTGGCCTAGGATTGCTATTCCTCCCCAAACTTCCCTTTTAAATGCAACTAGAAAAGCAAAAGTCTTTGGGAACTAAAATGGCATCTCTACATTCATGCCTTTTTCTGTTCTTTGTGCTTATATGGTTCTATTATTAAAGACAGCAATTGGGAGGATTGGCTGCAAACAATAATTGAAAGCGTTTTACTACCCTTTTGCAGTTTTTTTTCATTACTCTACTTCTTCCTCCTTTGGGTTAAACCGTGAAGGAGAGACACTCCCAGCCACATCCTCTCTGGCTGCTGCCATGCCCTTGCTGCTCCTGCAGTGCACCTTACACTTGTGTGCATGTGGGTGTGCACACATGTGCAGTGAGAGGGGATTTAAAACTGGTGACAAACAAAGAGAGTTTGTGCAAGCCTGAGCTGCAGCCCTGGCTTTCAGGTTGCCACAGTATCTGCCAACAGCTGTTTCCAATTGACTCTTACTGTGCATATATCCCTGTAGTTTATTCCCTCTTTGTTTACACTAAACTGTCGTGTCCTTTAAAGTAAAATAGCTGCATGGGTTGGGTTTTCTTTCCCTCCACTACTCAAATGTTTTTGTTTTACTAACACTGTGTTAGAAGGGGTCAGGCAGGGCTCATATTTCATATGGTCCAAGAAGCCAAAACCTAGCTAGAGTGAGAAATAGATGTCTCTTGCTTTCTGTTGCAGAGCATGATAGACTGAAAAGAAATGAAAATTGAATTGCTAGCTGATTTTTTTTCTGACAGTTAACAGATTTGTAAGCCTTCCTCCCCATTCTCATCCCTATTTTTATTAAAAAAGCTCTATTTCAACTACTTGATAGCAGCATCTTTCAATTTTTCTGCAGTGGAAGGATGTAGTTGTCCGTGGTCCTTGTTTAATTGAGTCTGGTGGATCCAAAATGAAGCTCTGTCCCACATGCCAACTGTAAAGGTTTGAATAGGTACAAGATCAGTTTATCTTGCAGTACTTCCACTAGGCCATAATTCAACCAGGATATGGAACGATCTGCCTGTGGTATGTCTAGGCACCCATCAGCTTCAAATCTGGCTTTCTTAATGGCGTTTCCAACATACAGTTATTTCTGTCACACTGGAAATCTGCTGTCCTTCCTGAATTTCCTGATGTCTTCAGTTTCCACCAGGCTGGAGATTTACTGTCAGACTTGTGTGGTCTGGAAGAGTCATACCAGATCCCTGTGTTTCCCTGCTTTAAGCTAGCAGCTGGAAATTCCTCTGACCTCTCTCACCAGTATGGCTTCTCTCTGCCTCTGTTACTTTAGTAACGGGTAGTATTTTCGCTGCTCTATTGTTTTTGTTGTACCATGTCTTTAAATGGTCTTGCAGAACATGCCTAAGACATGTATCTCTTACTGTCTTGCTCTGTGAAATGCTCTGGAGAGGTCCAGTTCTATGAGACACTGCTCGGAAGAATGCTGAACATATACTTATGGAACTTTTTTGTGCAAGTCATTTTGCATGAATTCCAGCAAATCATATGTCAGTGTTGTTCTGAGATGTGTTTTTTATTCCTGTGGCCTAGCTAGTCAGCTGTAACCCTCTCAAGAGGCTGAAAACAGTAGGAGTGCTAGCAAAATGTCATAAAACCAGTAGTAGCAGAAGGCAGAATCTGACTACAGAAAAATAGTTTTGAATGTATGACAGTAGATAGATACTCGCAGACAGCCTTACCAAATGTTTGTGACTTTCATGATTGTTGATTCAAATATCTATCAATAAGGGAGAAGAAAAGGGACTTGTGCAGCGTTTCCAACCAGAATACCAGAGAGACCAAGTATTTTTCTGGCATAGCTGTGCCTCCTCAGTGCTTTTAAACCCTTTCAGTTCAGACATTAAGAGGACAAGCTATTCAGCCAATGTCAGTTTCTGTGTACTGCCTCTGCTGTGTTGCCAGTCCTCATGTGCCTTTCTGCCATGTGACAATACAGTGTTCATCCTTATTTTAAGGTAGATTCCAAGCAGTATGATTTTTTGGGGTACAGATCATATCTTAATACAGAAACAGCTCATTGAACTCAGCAATTCAGTTCCTCAGTGTGCTGTCTTGAAAACTACTAGGCAATAAAGAGTGCCTCCTGGGTTCCTGGAGACATTTTCTGGTTTTAAGTTAAGGGCCACAATAAATAGCTTTACCCGCTGTTCTCAGTACGATAAACCCCAAGGTTAAACTGAGCATATGAACTGGTGGCGTCCTGTCCTAGATTACAACTAGGGACCAGTGGGTAGGGTTGTGATAAAAGATGAACCACTGCCTCCTCAGTGTGTCACTGTAAGATCAGGGATCCAAGTTTGGCCCTGTTTTGCTCCTTGACTCAGAAAGGTGTCCATGCCCAGATCCTTCTTGGTAGGAAATTGAGAGTATTTGGATACAAAGTACTGAACCACTGTGATTCAGTTCAGTTTGAAGTAGAAAATGGCCTTGATGTATGATAATCAGACTCCTTTTCCAAGGTAAAAGAAAGAGTGGGATTGTGATCCCTGTGGTATGGGAGCTTAATGTAGCTGCAATGAAACTCCAGGTTCCCTAGTAGTAGGCAAGCATACTTCTTTCTCAAAAGCTAAACGAAATCCAAGGAACAAGCCCATGAAGTAACTCACTTTTTCCTCTGGGAGGGAGATAGTTAATGAGTGACAAGTATTCTGCTTTGATCTATGGGAGGGAGGAATGAAGGGAGGAGGTTGCTGTGAGTTAAATCAATGGGCGTATTTAAGGAGGAAAAATGAGTGAGCACTGGATGTCTGTAAGGGAAGTTGATGTAAAACTGCAACATGTCTCCCAGGCATGTTCAGAGTCAGGCTGCCGGCTTCCTCCAAGAGGATGAAACAATAAACCACTTGATGTCTGCAAGTGAAGCTGGTGTTAAATCAGCCGAGGTGTCCTGGGGAGATTAGTGATGAATTACTCTGCAGAGTCAATAGAGATTATTTATGAAGCCAGAGGGGATAGAGGGAGGCAGGCTAAGTACCATATCAGAAGTTATTTGGTACTTGTTGAGCTTTAACATTGCTCAAAGATGACTCAAGCAGTTGGACTTCCATATGCTGCCACCAGACGTACAGATGAGGGAAGAAGGAGAGAATATACCCAGTAAAGATCCATTTCCTTCCTCATCTGACCAGTGTCAGGCTGCTGTTGAACAAAACCAGTCAATAGCTGCACTATGAATGAATGTGTTGCAGCTGAGGAAAGGGGCACTGTGTTTTCTTCTGGTCACATTTACTTCCTGAGTTCTGTTTCCAGGATCCATGATTTGGTGAAGAGTAACACAGAGAGAATACAGCTTGAGTCGTATGCTGTTCCGAATTGCATTGTCTCCAGCAGCTGGAGAAAAAGTGCTTGGATTTGCAAAGCTTCAAAAAATTCATTGCAGGCTTTGCAATAGATACTGAAATGTAATTTCTGTAGTGTAAATTTTTGGGCCATAATTCCACTTTAATTTGCTGTCTGTCCCATATGACTTTTAGGCTCTGAGGGATGCCTCTATTCAGTTCTAAATGGAAAGATTTTACGCATCTGCTTGAGGTTCCTCTTTAATCAGTTCACCTGTTTCTGTTTAAAAGCAGCACATCTGTTTCACATTACTGCTGGCCATCTTTAAGATCTACTGCATGGCTGGGCATGAGTTTTGAAAATACAAGAAGAATCACTTGATTTAACAATTCTTTGGCCAGTTATTCAGACAGTTTTTAAGTGGGAAGATCCTTGTTTTGTGCTGTTGATGCTTACAGCTCTTGAAATGCATCCTGCCCCAGAAGAGAAACAAGTCCGCTTTGGAAGAGTAAGGTTGTTTTGCCGTAAATCCTTCTGTACTTGTAATTGGATTGGTAATAATCTAGGATGCACACCTGCAGGCACCGTGACCCTGTTATATGCCTGTAAGTGGCTAAGTTAAACTGCTTCTTGGCAGGGGACTGGCAAACTTTCTGCTTCTCTCTACTGTGGGCTAAACCATTCAAGCCAGATGTTTTTCTGCTGCTGACAGGGCACAGAATCATCCTAGAAGTCAAACTGTTTGTATAACTGTGTGTCCTCGGGGGTCTTTATTTTTGAACAGAAGATGTTTTCAAGTGTATTTTGTGCTTATGAATGGCAGCAAACAGAGAAGCTTGGAGTCTGAATCCTCAGGCTCCTAGATGGAAGAGCAAGATCAGCAATAACATGCGCTACACCTGTTGTGTTGACATACCTCAAACTTATCTGTTTGATTTTGTTTACTCCATCCTCAAACACAGACACTTGCACTGTGTGATGGAGGTGGTCAGTGTAGTAATTGCTCAAGTTATTTGCATGGAAAAAGCATGAAACTCACACTCATTCTTTCTATCTTCAGTGAAAGTAGCAACAGAAGAACCTCCACCCGGGTGTTCATGGGTTGGCTTATTGCGTCCCCTCTGACAGACTGTGTGCCTGTGTCACAACGCACAGCTAATCTGCGCATTACAGATTTTGGAAAATGTACGGGCGCTATCTAAAAGAAAAATAACCAACAAAATATAGCACTTTAAAAACTACAGGCACCAAATTGTCTGGACATGCGTATATGTGTCTGCTAGAAGCCAGGCCCACACCCATCAATATGCTTCTCAGCCCTCCTATGGTCACAGTGTTTGATCAGTTTGGGGTCATGCAACCATGGACTTTACAATTCATGATTATTGAAGACAAAAGAAACTCTTCAGTTTTCTGACTGAGATCGTAGAGCTTTTTGCTGAACTCCATGTACTAAGGTTTGTTGTTTTGATCCTGAGTAACACCGATGACCTACAATAAAAAGTTCCCAGCCTTTTAGTTGTAAAGCTTCTAGTCCTTCTATCTCATCCAAGCATGTCTAATTATGTGGCTTTCCTGGAAATTTTGTAGCCTTATCTTGCTTAGCTGATATCAGTTTGCCTGCGTTCTCAAGTGCAGACAGGATGACCAGCTAGGAACAGAGTGAGAGCAATTAGTTCAGAGGTGTGATATTTAAAAGCTTTTGAATGTCTGCTGATTCATATTTTAGTTTCCAGCTGTTGGTTAGGTTGGGCAATATTAAAATGTTTTAAGTTTCTTAGATTTAGTAATATTTCCTGTCTGTAAAAATAAAACTCTTGCTTTTGCTTTTACCTAGTTCCAAAAATACAGTTCTATCCAAATGGCAATAGCAATGTGAAATTCCAACATGGAATTTCTTAGCACTGAAGACAAAAACATTCTGCCTCATGCATCAGCCTGTCTCTCACTTATAATTGCATTTTCTCTTTCTGCTGTTAATTAATTATGTTGATTGTAGAAGGTCCATGAATACTGCAGACTTCACTCCTCAAATATTTCTTTTCACACTTTCCTGTTTCAGTCCCAAAATTGACATTTTGTTGTGGATAGCCTTTCCTTTATGGTTCCTTTGGTCCTCCCCTGCGCTCCTGTAATGACTGATGAGGGTGTCGTGCATTGGAGGTGGTAGGATAGAATTTGTCACTTGCACATTTCTTCGTTGACATCCATACTGAGAATCACCACGTTCATTTCATGTAACTTATGAAACAGCCTCTCAATAATCACAAATTTTGACTGCTTCTGGTCCGCTTTGCTTTTCATATGGAGGCCTTGAGGGGTTTTTTAATTGATTCTGTGATTTGTTGTAACTGATGACCCCTACTTGTCACAGCTGGAAGCTTCAGGTGGCTCCAAGCAGACCAATGTTCTAATGCGAAGGCTTCAGGCTCTACTCTAAGGAAGGCCCACACTCCTCCAAGGCTCAGGAGGAAATGCCTCACCCTTAGGTACAAACGCCCTGCCTTAAATAGTCAGGAGTCATGTGGTTTACTAGATGGGTCAAGGCTATTGGTCACTTGACCATCCATCTCCCGGAGTGATTGGCTGAATGCTACAGCACCTGTTTCAAGGCAACTTTCCCAGTGTAACGAGCTACAGGTGTTTCTTAGTTAGCCTGCATAGGGAGAGAACTTTCACAGGATGCTGCAGCAGCCAAAAGATTTCTCCATACCTACTCATTGCACACAGATGGACAGGAGTAGTTGGGAAGAAGTATGTAATTTTAATGCCTCAGGTAATATTATTAAACTCTTGTTTTCAGAGCTTGTTTCATATTGGATATGAAACATGGATATATAGACGCTGTCAATTCCTTCTTCAGCTGTGACTGTGGACAGAGTGAGCTTACCTAGTACAACCAGTCTTCTTACAAGAAACTCTTTTCTCAGATCTGTAAGGGAAAGATCAGTACCATTACTTGTTACTCTGGAAGATCTTTTAATATGCACAAGCAGAACTGTCACGTGAGCTCACAGTCACTTACCAGTCACATGGATCTGAAGAGTTTTACTGTAGCAAAAGAACTTGATGAGGGAGGTATCTGATATGGGGGAAGTCGGAAGCACTTCTGATCTGTGAGGTCCTGATTGTTTTTAATCACCGTCTAATTTTCGATGTGTGTTTGCTTAGCTGAAGAGGATAAAAATATATCATCTAGAAAATCCCTGCTTTTGGAACTGATTCGTTCCTCTTACTGAATACTCTAGAATAGCAGTTTCATAGTGGATCTTCTCATGGTTATTTTGTGCCTTTTTAGTGCAGCTTTTCAGGCTTCCTACTTTCTGGATTGTCAGAGTCACTTAAGCTTTGCACTAATGGTACAATGTTGATACTGTTGAAAGGCTGAAGCTGTCTAATGAAGAAATCAGACAAGCAATCTTGAAGATGGATGAACAAGAGGACCTAGCGAAAGATATGCTTGAGCAGGTGAGAAAGATTACAGTCACATATATCTTATTCTTAAGTCCTTCACTGCCTTTTTCTTCTGCCTAAAGTAAGTGGATATACGTACTGGCCCTGCTGGTATGTCTGCAGATCTGAACTTGGCCCTATCATGTCAGCAAAGCTGCATGTGGGAGCATGAGAAAAATATTTTTCCCAATGTTGTCAGATATACCTCCCTCATGTAACTCTATTTTTATTAGGTGGATTTCAGAAGTTTTATCTTCTTGATGCAAAATATGTATGATTACTGTTGATAATGAGGTTTCCTTTCACATCCTCTGTTCTCACCTGTGACTTCCCCATAGTTTTTCCCATCTCTTTTTTATACTGCTGATTATTTGTTGTTGTTGTTTTTCTTTTTTTTTTTTCCTTTTCTTTTTCTTATCTCCCTTCTCTGCCTGCAGCTTTTCCATTGGGAAATGACATGAACCAGGCCATGGAGGTCGATGGTTAGAGCCAGGACTAGAAGAGATCTTGCATTCTAACTAGAACAGTTAGAAAGGGAGTCAGGGACTTGCGTTCCCTGCAGTTGGTTCACTGTGTAGCTTGTGAGGGAGAAAAAAACCAACAATTAAACCACCTTTGCCAAATTTCCGCCATTTATAAAGGGCAAAAGATGATGTTTTGATCAAAGATGCATATAAAGATCCTTAGGAGTGTGCAAAACGTTATCGTTCTGAACTGCCCGACAAATGTAATTCCTTCTTTGTGTGCAGTCACAATATTTAATTGTGTACAAAAAGCCTTTCCATTTTGGAAATTTATAGCCTATTTGTCATGTTTTCTGAATGTTCACAGCTGCTCCAGAAGTCACTGCAAGCTTCTGATGCTCCACACCTTTAACTATTGCATTTTTGGGGAATGAGATAAAGTATTAAAAAGTAGTATAAAGCAAAGTCATTGATATGCCTTGTGAGCAGTTTTTGTGGGTGTGCATAGCAATATTTACAACCATACTAAAGTGCAGCTACCACCAGATATGTCAAAAATCTGTCAAAGTATGAGCTTTTAAGGTCAGCATATGAATAGCAGCCAGTGTCAGACACACTGTCAGTCGGTTGGTCATTGTTTATTGTTTCAGCAGAGTAGAGCAGACCGAGAGAGATAGATGAGGCTTTGTGTGTACTCTAGGATAGGCACGATGGGTACTTCACACTGAGTGGGCCACATCCTGCTCTTGTTTGCACTAATCTAAACTGCAAGTAATGCTGTGGGAATCAAAGTTCTCTCTGTACTTCCCCTGGAGTAAGTTGCAGTAGCACTTGGCCTTTAGGATTTAGAAACGGGAAATTCCCCATAGAATTAAAAAGTAATCTAATGGGGTCAGTGAGGGATAAAGACGGAACAGCAAGCAAAGGTTTAAAAAAGGTCATTTTTGTAGACACAGCTGCACTTTTTTTGAAGTTATAGTCACACGGCTGAGTCAACGTAATGCTTCCTCATGGTAGCAGAGGAATCCAAGGGCATTCTCTCTCTCCGTCAGGGTTTGTTTGTGCCTCTCTGTCCCTCTCTCCTTTTCCCTGGATCTCTCATCTCTCTGTTTGGTTCGTATCTACCACTCTAGCTGCTGAAGTTCGTTCCTGAAAAGAGTGATACCGACCTGCTGGAGGAGCATAAACACGAAATTGAGCGCATGGCCCGGGCGGATCGTTTCCTCTTTGAAATGAGCAGGTCTGTCTGATACGTTATGGGAAAGTGCACTGAGGGCTTCTTGGAAGCAGCTGTAATTGTTATTGAAAATGGATCATCTGGCGCTGGGGGAATGTGCAAGAGATTGTGGGCCAGCATTATACCCTGCATTTGCCAGAAGCCCACAAACGTTACAGGTGTTTCTATTCATTACACAAACTTTTTATTGATGATATGCACTCTCCGTGCTGTCATTTAAGGACCAGTCCCCTGATGACTAGCAGAAATCTGCCTCCTCTGCCTAAACATGTTCACACAAAAAGGAATTCAGGTCCAACTATCGGATGTAGTATAGCCAGGGGTCAGGATTTCATATAGATCCCTTTTTCCATTCAGCTATCCCATCTCGTCATCCTCTGACCTTCTTTCTTGTTCCAACTTTGCTACACCCCCGATCAGGATTAACATCTTATTCTGCTAATTTGAGATGCAGCTGGCATCTCCTCTGACTCTTGTATTTTGAGAGTAATGGGAATTCTTCCAGCTTGTTTTCAGTTGTGATCAAAACATGCTTTGAGGTCCTCCATTTTCATAACAAGGTTGATTACGTAGTGTTAGCTGTTTGAACTATGTCCGTAATCCCACGCATAGGCCCTGTGGAACTCGACATCCAACCATTAGATTATGTAGGCAGCATATTGGCCCTGGGCTTCAAAATACAGTTTGAATTCAGTGTTGGCTTTCCTCTACCTTTCATGCAGGATTGACCACTATCAGCAACGGCTGCAAGCATTATTCTTTAAGAAGAAGTTTCCAGAGAGGCTGGCAGAAGCAAAGCCAAAAGTGGAAGGTATGGTTAAAACTTAGTTTGTAAGAGTTGGGTAAAGGAGCAGGCAAGGTCAAGAGAGGCTTGTCTTCAAAGGCAGTGCTGTTACATGCATGCTATGGTTGTAAAGCCAGTGAGTCCAAGGCATATCATGTTCTAAGAAATGAATTCTGACACTCTTCTTGCACTCATTGACTTAATAAATTCCGTTTCATGATTGTTACACTGTAAATATGACCTGACAGATGTGACAGTGTGGTACTAGGCTGTGCTGAGCTGCCAAAAGCTTTCGTGGCCTTTCTGTGCAGGTTAGGCTTCGCTTCTCACCCCAAGTCCTGGCACCTTCCCTCTCCATGGGGCAGTTAGAATAGATGCCTCAGGACAATGATATTCTGGGAACATGTAACTTACAAGGAGGGGGGTTGTATGGCTTCTGTGACATATCCCTGGTTATCCCAGAGAAGAGATGAGTGTATTCTACTCTGCATTTTCAGATAAACTCAAGCCTCTCTCCTGTTCTTACTGGCTCTGTTTTTGAAGTGTGAGGTCCAGGAGAATAACCTTGCTCCTGGGTTCAGAGGAGCATCCTACGGGCTAGATGTGGTGCATCTTCCTTCCGTTTGTCCTGGTTCTGGGCATGCAGGTGTGAAAAGGACAGTACATACACAGACTGTGTTGCAGCATTTGCTGGGCAATAGTCAGATGGGCGTTTTTAGGTACTTGAAATTATGGGCCCAAGCATGTTAAGGACAGCCACTGTGCAATAACTTGTTCATTTTTTTTTTCCCTTTTCAAGCCATTCTTCTGGCATCCAAGGAACTCATCCGAAGCAAGCGTTTAAGGCAACTCCTGGAGGTAGTTCTGGCCTTTGGGAATTATATGAACAAGGGCCAAAGGGGAAGTGCATATGGCTTCAAAGTCTCCAGCCTGAACAAAATTGCAGACACCAAATCCAGCATAGACAGGTAGGCTAGAAGGCCATGAATAAATTAGGTACTGTGCTGCTGTTATCTCTTATCATAACAAGGAAAGGTGTTTTTTTTTTGTGGTGTTTTGTTTTTTTTTTTAGCTCTGTAGACCATTTAAAATGTCTATTTGTCATTTAATTAGTGCTTTTCACTCTAGAAGATCCTGCAGCAGTTAAGATGGGGTGTTAACACCACACTCAAATTCTGCCATTTCTTTGGATAATGCACATCTGATGTTGGAATTGTGTTTCTGCAACACTAAGCAAAGATGACAGAATGTAGTATTTCACAAATAACTGAAATAAGTTGCAGGGGGAGGAGGATTTCTATGGAATTTGCCCTTTATACCAGTTTTATGGCCATGGTTTTGCAAAAAAAGAAAACACAAAAAACTCTGACCACAGTTTTATGTCTCCTGCAAAACATGACATATGTTTCTGATGCAGGACTGTGATAAACTGACTGTCTACCTACACCAGTAATGGAACCACAAGGCGTAGCTCAGAGAGACTGAGCCTGGTTGTATCTAGAGCAGTTAAGGAAAATAGCTGTTTGGGGAAGGTGGAGTTTACTATTTATGGACATGGGCTACAGGTCTTTCTTGTGCTACCACGTTTTGCTCCACATCCCCATGCTGGTTCTGGAATTTAATCCAGCTGTGACTGGGGAGAGAATGCCACTTTTGGGCTTCAGCGGCACTAAGGTTATCCCTGTAGATCTCCTATACTGGTTCTTTCTAACTCACACCTTCCTTGACTTGCTGAGACCACAGTTGTGTTAAAATGACTTCAGGCTGTGACCGAATGAATAATGGCAGTAAGAAGCCATAGGAAGAAATCCATCCCTACCTAATAGAGTTTGAACTAACAGAGTTCTGTTTTGACTACCATGACATCCTTTCCGTATTCCAAGGCTAACGCTTGTGTAGCTAGCGCTGAACATTTTCTTGCCTGTAGTTTGGCTTGATTTTTTCATACATTAAATGTCCTGTGCAGATCCTGTTCTCTCACCAGTTCCCAGACTCTAGTCTGTGTGAAGCAGTGGCCATCTGCTATCTTGACTATCAGTTAACCACAACATCCACCTCAAGCAGCTGTTATGGGTGGCTGTTCTCTCTACATGCAAAATTCATCAGTTACTTTACAAATTTTCTCAAACTTTCTCCTTCATCTCTCATACACGTTATCTCTATCCACTCCTACTTGAGCTACCATTGATTTTGTAGCAGTGAGCCTGGCCGCTACTCCTAAGTACATCTGTTTCATTACTGTAGGAGTTTCCTTTGCAACTTCTTCAATCTTCAAGAACCTTTTCCTCTTCTTAGTTAACTCTTGGGTTTCTTTCCACATTGCCTCTGAGAACAACTCACTTCTTCCTTACAAGTTAACGTCACTTTAGTACTATTAGTTGTTTGTTCTCTGAAGTATCTAGGGACAAATAGTATACTGTGTTACACAATTTTCTTTTCTGTTACATCATTTACACAGATGGATGGAAGCATGCTGGTGCTTCCAGAATAAATCAAGGCACAATATATTTCTTGAGGTTTTAGGAAGGATGGTTCATAAAGGGCTAATTCATTTCAGTCTATGATACTTTTCTTTCAATAACAGAGCTGCTAACTGTTGTTATATTGTTTTGTTCAGTCAAGTGCATTTTCTACCCAAATATTTTTCACTGATTTGTCACTATCCTCCCACCATCCTTTTCCTTCTCACCACAATCTTCCTTCTCATTTCTCCCTTCTTTTATGTTTTTTAGGAACATTACACTGTTGCACTACTTGATTATGATCTTTGAAAAGAATTATCCAGATATCCTAGATATTCAATCTGAGTTGCAGCATCTTCCAGACGCAGCAAAAGTCAAGTAAGTCCAGTGCTATTGCTTGTTTCCAGACCTGGAGTTCCTAGTAATTTCTTTTAACTTAATGATCATCATTTTTTTCCTTGTTGTCTTCTAATCTCACAGCCAGCCTTTGCTCACATCCTTGGTGTTACTCAAATGTACATCAACAGAGTCCAAAAACATTTGTAGATAACTAAATTATCAGCTTTACTCAGATATGCCTATATCTACTTTATTTCTGAATCAGACATTGTAACTAGACTGGTCATTGTTTGTAATTCACTCACCATATTCTATGATTGTTCATCTAAGTCGTGGTATTTTTCTGGGTAATTGAAGATTTGTTTCTAAGGCAGAGTCAATTAGGCGCAGAGGCTATATATTAAGCCCTTTTCAGGAAGATTGTTCAAACTATTGCACAAATCAGTCTTGCACTGATGTGGAAAGCATCGTACTTTTTTCAGAAATTTCAATGATTTTTTTTCCATTTCTGTAGGTGTTTATGGAAGATGAATACACAAGCCATCCCTCAAAATACTAGCATTTTTTTTCTGTTCAAAGCTGTGTTCAAAATTACCTTTACATATTACTTGTCCAGCCATGATTATTTGTATAGGGAACTACTCCAGCTAATGAAAGATAAGTTAAAAAATAAATGTAAGTTCACACTTAAAGGTATTTATTAAGGTTTCAGTGGTGGTTTTGAGATGTAAACTACTACTCACCAAATACTTGGAGGAGATGCCTGCTGACTCACAAATAGGTACTAACTAGTTACCTGGAAGTGAAAAGTCATTTTTTTCATACAGGTTCTAGAAAAAAAACTCTTGTTTATGTATGATGAGCTGAAATTCAGTATAGCACTTGTGTCTAGGGAAGGATGTATTAACATTAACAGTACAGTTATATGCTCAGTTACAATGTAAGCTTGCAAGGACCACCATATGGTAGAAATGCAGATGGAAAAAACAACATTTGGACTGTGAGGAAGAAAAAAATCACATGTAAATGAACTGCTAATGGGATTTAGTAGTGAAGTGGTTCAAGAATCATATGCAGAGATAATCTTAGACCTCAGTAATATGTGTGCTAAAGCTGGGGCCCGTGCTTATGAGTCAGCTGATTATTGCAAGCTGGCGATGTGGCCATACGTTCCTTGCTGGAGGGTCAGGCTCAGCTCACGGGCCAGATGTTCTGAGGGCAACCCCGCTGCTCTTCCTAGGAAAATCCCGATCTTCAGTGTGACCACAGGCGAGCAGGGTCTGCTTCATCTTCCATCTCATACAAAAAGTAGCACAGAGCATTAACAGACCCCCCTTCCCCTCGTTTCTAATCATCTGGTGTGGCTGATGCCAGAGGCCGGATACCAGACTTGATGGGCCAGTGATCTGTTCTGCTGCACAGTTCCTGTATTCCTGTGTAACACTGCTCTTTTTGTTTTATCTGCTCTGTGTCTGTCTCCTGTGCAGCCTGGTAGAGCTGGAGAAGGAAGTCAACAACATAAAGACCGGATTGAAAGCTGTTGAAGCTGTAAGTATCTGAAGGTTTCCAAAGTGCCATACTTAAAATATCTCACTCAGAATCAGGGGCACTATATATTTTATGATAAGAGAAAATGGGCTTTCTTTTTCCATTCCTTTCCATTCCATTCCAGAATGCATTAACCAAGAAAAAACAAATAAAATCTTCTCATGTGGAGCTCCTGCTGATGATCTTAGCAGACTTAAACCTAATGAAAAGCTTGTTTGATCTCAGCCTGGAAAGTAAAAGGACAGTTTGACAAATGGCATGAACTGAAAGAAGAAATGCAATTCTTGCTCTTTCTTACTGAGAGATGGCTGGCTGCTGAGCACGTGTTTCACATGGCTCTTGGAGTAGTAGTAAACAGGTAGTGCACTGTTATATGCAACCCTAACCTGTCCTGAGCACTCCTTGGGAAGGCGAGCAAAGCGACAATAGTGTTTTTTCCTGCTTTTAATGAAGCCTTTTATGCTGGACTTAGACTAGCTGTGTTCAATTTGTACTTAGGTAGTGTAGAGCCTTCTATCTCAACAGAGAACAGTACAAATGGTGCATTGATACAGTTGTGTATACTGAGTTATAAGAGTTAAAGATGAGGGATGGGCCTAAATGCTCCCTGGAGTCACAACTTTGTGTGTCAACTGTGGTTCTTCTACCTGGAAGCCCCCATCAGTTAACATGTTGGGAGAAAGTCTTTCTTTCTCCATGTTTCTGGAGAAAGACTCCAGCCTTCCTGAGGCAGGAGAGCACAGAGCAGGACACCGTGTTCAGTGGCAGGAGGTAGGAACTCTCATATTTGCTTCTTGCTTATGCCATTGACTTATGTGTGTGGCTTTGAACAACCCCATGCATTTACCTTCTCTCCGTGAAAGCAGCTACAAATACCTGCCTCTCACAACTGCTGATATGATGAATGGCAAGTTAGTGTTTGCACAGCAGTTGAAAAAGTAAAGAT